GGAGGGCGGAGAGAAAGGGTGATAATCAAGAAGGCCAAAGAAACAAGGGAGGTATCTGGCCCTACTCAGGAGGCACTGCGATGTCACTGACGATGATTGACCTCCTGAGTGGCTACATGATTCCTGGCAAGATTCTGCTTCCTGGAAACAAGTACCCACCACCCCCCAAAAGGTTCAGGAAGGAAACACTACTTAGTACAAATGTTAAAAACTTTTTTTTTTTTTCTTTGAGAATCAGAGTCCTCACTTCAATCTCTCCAGCCTGGAGTCGGGCAGTGCGCGGCACAGCTTCTCAGTCCACCTTGCAACCTCTGCCGTCCTGGTCTAAGGCGATTCTCAGCTGCCTCAGCCCCTCCCCGATGTACTGGATTACAGGTGCCCCCACACCATATCTGGCTAATTTTTGTATTTTATTTTCTTTTATTTTATTTATTTACTTGTATTTATTTTTGAGATGCAGTCATGCGCTTCTGTCCCCCAGGCCTGGAAGTGCAAGTGGCACGATGCTGGGCTCACTGCAAGCTCCTCCTCCTGGCTCACCACACACACACACACACACACACACACATATATATCTTCGGCCAGGTGTGGTGGCTCATACTTATAATCCCAGCACTTTGGGCAGCTGATGTGGGAGGATCACTTGAGTCCAAGAGTTCAAGACCCTGTCTCTACAAAAAATAAAGAATTAGCTAGGTGTGGTGTGCACCTATAGTCCCAGCTACTCGGGAGGCTGAGGTGGGAGGATTGCTTGATTCCGGGAGGTTGTAGTGAGCTGTAATTGCACCACTGCACTCCGGCCTGGGTAACAGAGTGAGACTCTGTCTCAAATACACACACACACACACACACACACACAGACTGTCAGTCTCATAGGTGTCCTATAAAGGTAAATAAGGCAGGTAGGCATTTGAAATTACAGCAGGGACAGAAAGCAAAGCTCAGGCTTTGGAGGAGAAACTCTTGGGCTGGATGCTTTGCTTGTACCTTCAGTGCCTTTTGGATTGTTTCTCCCTCTGTTTTAGAAATGCTCTCCCAGCCCAGGATTTCTCATGACGCCCAGTTTGAGGTCATAAAAGGACAGACCATCGAAGTCAGTTGCCAATCAATCAGTGGAACTTCACCTATTTCTTATCACCTATTAAAAACAAGCAAAATTTTGGAGAATAGTACCAAGAACTCAACTGATCCTGCGGTATTCAAAGACAACCCCACTGAAGACGTAGAATACCAGTGTGTTGCGGATAACTGCCATTCCCACGCCGAAATGTTAAGTGAAGTTCTGAGGGTGAAGGTGATAGGTAAGTTGCTGTGCTATGAGAAGAAATCATGTGAGCTTGGGGCATTCGTTCATGCCCAGGGACTGTGGGAAAAATAGGAGAAGTAGGGGGCCAAGCACGGTGGCTCACGCCTGTAATCCCAGCAGTTTGGGAGGCCAAGGCAGGCAAATCATTGAAGTCAGGAGTTCAAGACCAGCCTGGCCAACATGGTGAAACCCCATCTCTACTAAAAATACAAAAATTAGCTGGGCGTAGTGGCGGGCACCTGTAGTCCCAGCTACTTGGGGGGCTGAGGCATGAGAATTGCTTGAACCCAGGAAGCAGCAGTTGCACTGAGCCAAGATGCGCCGTTGCACTCCAGCCTGGGCAACAACAGCAAAACTCCATCTGGAAAAAAAAAGAGAGAGAGAGAGAGAGAAGTAGTGGGTGCTTATGCAAAGTCCATACACTAGATATGCACCAAAGCAGGACCAAGGCCCAGTAAAGGAGGCTGGAAAATATTTGGGAGCTATTGATGAAGACAATGTAATCTCTTTCCAGAACCTTTCAACGAACTGCTAAAATATGATAAGCGTGAAAGTGTCCTGACTGCAGAAAGCACTGAAGTTTTGCATTTGGGCTCCCTTGGCACTTTCTCCTTTTCAGATATACTGTTCTGAGAATTATAGATCAGGTCTCTGCTGTTGTGACTCCTAGCTGGGCAACCCTGTCTTGTGTGAAATCCACAGCAATGAGAGCTACAGGCTGTGGTCTCATGGGAATTACTAACATTTGCCTGGAATTCTCATCATACTCAAGAGAAATATACCATTGTCTTGGGGGTGGACAGTTTACTTTAAGCCTCTATCTCATGCCTTTCAGAAGGCCTCAGGAGTGCCATTGCTTGCATGTCTTAGATATTTTGCATCCTGTCGTAAAAAGTTTAATAAGGATTCCTCCTCTTCGTCCTTCTTGTTTAGTAACTGCCTATCTACATGTGCTGCTGATGGATGTGAATAGGAGGGAGGGATTCCTGCTTCTATTCATGTAGAGTCTAACAGTAGCCATACCTTTTCAATTGATATTACCATAGGCTGGGTGAGGTGGCTCACACCTGTAATCCCAGCACTTTGGGAGGCTGAGGCAAGCGGATCACCTGAGGTCAGGAATTCAAGACCAGCCTGGCCAACATGGTGAAACCCTGTCTCTACTAAAAACACAAAAAATTAGCTGGGTGTGGTGGTGTGTGCCTGTAATCCCAGCTATTCAGGAGGCTGAGGCACAAGAATCATTTGAACCTGGGAGGCAGAGGTTGCAGTGAGCTGGTATCATTCCACTGCACTGCAGCCTGGGCGACAGAGCAAGACTCCATCTCAAAAAAAAAAAAAAAAAAAAAAAATTAACATTAACATAGACTAAGCACCTAATGGTGTGAGGCATACAAAAAAGAAGGCATATTCTTTGTTTCAAAGCTGTAATAAGAAACACAAGATCTGAGATAGAGTCCTCACTCTGTCACCCCCAGGGCCTGGAGTTGCAAGTGGCCACGATATTGGTTACTGCACCCTCCACCCCTCCTGGATTCAAGCGATTCTCCCGCCTCAGCCACCTGAGTAAGGCTGGGGACTTAACAAGGCACCCGCCCACCACTGGGCTTATTTTGTATTTATTAGTTAAGGACGGGGGGTGGGTTTCAACATGTTGGCCAAGTTAGTCTCAAACTCCTGGGCTCAAGTGATCCACCCG